AAAGACGTTAACTGGCACCCAAAGGCCGACTCGCGGTAGCATTGACGCAGGTGCCGCAAGTGAAAACAGATCTCCTTATTTAGATCGGTTGGATCTCCTTGTTTAGATGACCTCGTTACTCTAGTGGTTAATGACCCCGATTTATTCTGCCCCAGTGCATTTATGCGTTCCAGTCTGAAGAGCCGTATTAAAAAAAAAACGATTTATATTACCACTTTATTTCTCAGCGTGTATGTAGAACGTACCAAAATAATATTTTTGTAGATTAATCTATCTATATATATAAAAATGAATTGCTGTTCGTTAGTCTCGCTAAAACTCGAGAACGGCTGGACCGATTTGTCTAATTTTGGTCTTGAATTATTTGTGGAAGTCCAGAGAAGGTTTAAAAGATAGATAATACGAAAATGCTCGGAATTAAATAAAAATAACAATTTTGTTTTTCCTTTGATGTGTCCCCCGTCGGATGGATTTTTACCTTTATAGCCACCATCCTCTTTTCTTAATGTGCACCTAGTATAAGAAGCTCTGTATTATAATACATTCCAAACTCCTCGAGTAATAAAGGCTCACTATTTCAAGCTTACCAGCCACTTAGTATTAGACTGTATTATACAGTTTTCGGAATGATATTAAAAATATCTAAATCTTTAACAAAATAATAGAATATCAGACAGATAAACACGTTTGGAATATAATACATTTTGTGACAGCCTTATCATGAGAAATTCTTCCGTAACAAAGCATGTTTGGTTTTCTACATCCTAGATAATGTCAGCTTATCATAACTTATCTTGCGATCGATAAAACGACCTCGATCGTTTATCTTTATCTTTGGCACTTTATATTTAACGATACAAAATTAACATTGTAATATTGGTGATGTAATTATTATGTTGATCCAAACTTATCGTTGCGCGTCACGAATCTAGTATGTATTTACCTTAAGATTGCGTTCACGTAATATTATTGTACATAATTTTATGAAAATGATATTGACATAATATTAACTGCTTGATTTTTGGCTTATGTGTGGCTTAGTCGGTCTGATCCTGTGTGAATGGACCTTCCAATGATTTGTGGTTAGTTGGACATGGACATAAAGAATGCGGAGGACCGAGCAAGTCGGGCCGCTATCTGCTGAAGATTCTTTTCAAACCTCCGCTGAAGAAAGACAAGCTATAGCGTATAAGAAACGTTGTAGAGAATGTTCATTTCGGAGTTGTTTTGTTAAGTCATAAAAGATAATATACAAAAAAGACAACCAAAATAAAAAAATAATCAAAGATAAAAACAAAAAGATTAAGGATAATTATTCAAGAACTGCTCGTCAGATATTAATAAAATTTCGCCACAGCTAGAACAAATGGAACGCTAGTTTTCAAATAATAATAATAATAATAAAACAATAAAAATCGGTTCATACAGAAAATATTTATGAGTACATAATACGTATAAAATAATAGTCGAATTGACAACCTCCTGTTTGTTTGGAGTCGGTTGAAAATGTTGCTAGCACGTCAAAAACATCAGTTGTATGAAAAAAGGAGCAGAGCATAATCTAGTTTGTGTAAAATACACTTATTCCTTTTAAAATTTTTCGCTTCATTTGTAATTCTGGTGAACAATGACGGATAACATTTACACGTCTATGAACAAGAGTATTTTAAGATTGCGAAATTCCAAGATAAATGATCCGCTCAGAAAAGACATACAGATATTGTGCGTAAATGAATTGTGCTATTGTAATATTCAGTATACGTACGTCCATCTTTATTACCTACGTGTATTGTTGAGTGCGCATTTACTTGGCCGCGTCTATTTTTACCGGCGCATCAAGCTAACCTATCGTCTGACTCAGTGCATGGGGCCAACGAACATGGCCTGTATCGACACGGTTCATTTCTTAAAAGTCGTTGCTCTTGATATTCAGACAACCTTTATTCGGAAATAAGGTTGGTTGAATATATCGAACGAACGAATGAATATATCGAACGTTTCCGTATACAGAACAGTGTGGTTTTTGGAACGAAGTTCCTTACGGGACGGTACGGAGGGGTACCTTAACCGGGAAAAAACGTCCGTAACGTAAGATTTTTATTATTTATGTATAGTCTTAGTATGATGGCTATACAGTGTCTAATGTATAGTCTACGTGATGACGGTTATTATTATTATTCATATAAATAGCTGTTTCTTTGTATATTATTATTATATATTTTTATAAATCATTGTGAATAAAATAAAGTTGATAACTTTGTAAACTAGTTTTATTTTATTTTTATCAATAAAAAAATCATAATTAAGAATGTATACCCAAACAATTATTTTCTTTATACCTCGAATAGAACTTAAAATTAATATTTTTATAATAAGCAACTTGGTTCATATCCGGTGTCCCACGACACCACACATATTTTTTTTTTAAGATTATTTTATTAGATTGATACGTTTCTTCGCCTATCTAATCGCTGGCAGGCTCGAAGGACTATTCCAGCTTCTCAGAACGGATAGGCGACCTCACGGAGCTCAGTCTTAGAGAAATTCCTACCATCTGTTCCTACTTCTGACTTCATTGAATCTGCCATCGAATCTGACTTCCGCAAATGTATGTTTGTTTGTATGCAATATTTGAAGGTCATTCTGACCAACTTCATAACGTCCGATAAATTTTTATCATACCAGGATAAAATGTGTCTAAGTTTAATGTAAAAACTGTAATAAAAAGAAAATAATTTTATACTGCATAGATGGGTATTCGATCTCACCAAGAAGGTATCAGACCGCGTGGAAGGCTACCCATGCGATGGACCAACCAATTGCATGCATGGGCGCCAGGAGAAGTGGCGATTGCTCATGAGGCGCATAACATCTGCCCACAGCAATGCCACTGATTGACGAACACGACCGCTCTGACAAGAGTGATACGACAAAGCTAATAGTCACCACAATGCTGCCCTCAGCCTTGAGACATGAGTACGAAGTTAAAATTTTAAATTGTCTAATTGAAAATGTTTTAAGTTCTTAGTATTACGACCATTCTCTGCCATTTCTGTTATCAAAATATTCATGCATAACAAATTAGCTTCTATTTGAATAACGTGTTATAACGTTCATTATAAATACCTACCTGTTACGAAAATTACGATGACCACATGTGACTTTATAGTATTTATTTGGATAGTAATTGGCCACGCTCTGCCTATTTTCTTTAAAAAAATTTAAAGATATAGAAATTATTATTAATATTAGAACAAAAAATAAAAAATATATATAATTAGCTTAAGAAAAACGACGACGGGTCGTTGATGTCTTTCACACGACATGCAAAATAAAATGTGAAGTCTCGAAAAATATCCATCCAGCAACTGATTCATTGCGATTAACAAGAATCGTGACTTAACGTTCTCCAAAAAAGGTAAGCGAATGTAATATCGAACAGCGTTCGTTCTCGAGTGGCTAAAATAGCTAACGATAACGTCAATTATGAATATGAAATACTTAATCATAATAGTAATGGACAATAGTATACCGACGAAGCGATATCGGCTACGGATATAAATGGCCATCTAGTTAAAACAAAGCGCGGACGTAATACGTTTTTCGGCCACCCGTTTTATACGTTACAAATAAGGCTTCGAAGTTATGGTTACGTTACAAAGTAGATATCTGTCTCGTTCGCACACACGATTCGTCGTCCTTTTCTTGCTCAGCTGCGTCATCGCAGAAACCAGCCAGCCAATTGACCGGTATACCGCCAGCCTTCAGTTTTTCTTTTATTTATGTTTCGCTCTGACTGGGTAAGTTATGCTCCGTTTACACAATATTTTTTACTTGCTCAATACTAACAAAACTGTACTAGAAGGTTATTGTAAGTTGTAAGTACATGCAAATATAATTTAACAAAAGCAGATTTAATTAAAAACGTCAATTAAAGTAATTGGGATAAGATCGAAAATATAACAGTTTCAAACAAGAAAACAATATTCAATATCGATCCATAATTAATCGAGAAATCGGCAAATATAAATATATAAATACATATTAACGTAGAACCTTAAATGCTTTATACATTAAACAATCAAATTTTCTTAATACCAGTGATATGATTATTAATATTTCAAGTATTATTATTTTAATAATTTTAAATTCCGATTTGAGAACCTATGAACAAACATTAGATTCTACGTCATACTTAAGTATTTCTGGCATTGCAGCCTTGATATCCTTAAAAGAGTTTGAAGTAAATATCTGACGGTATTAGGATTTTTCGTATTGTAGCTTATTTCGGTGTTGAATATCAAAGTTATTTGGAAAGTATAATAAAAAAAGCAAAATGTATTAGTGAAATCTTGAGAATCCGAAGCGAAGTGAAGCAGTACTTTACGCCTATTGAAAGACCTGAAAGGTTCTTAAGGTTCTTCAAGGTTCTTAAATACCGCACACTTATAATTGTTTGTATTCTATTTGTTTTTACATCGCATATTCCATGGGGAGTAGTACTTTGTTGGAGATGATTCCTGTATCTTTGTTTTAATATCGCCTAGCGATGCAGTCGGAGCACCTGTGCTATGTGAAATCGCTGAATTCATCCATAGCGCATTTCTAGGAATACTTATTTTATGCCACATAACGTTCCTATTAACCCACTGAGTTTCTCGCCGGATCTTTTCAGTGCCCACCATAAGTCTACGTGAAGCCAGAGAGCCCCTCGAGACTACTAGCAGATAGCATGTCCATGAGCGACGATGACTACTTAACATCACGTGGGTCGTATGCTCCTCTGTCTATAAAGACAACTTAAAACTTTCTACATTTTAAAAATTATACAAACCTTAATTAAATTTCGTAAAATAAAATATGCTTTCAATCCTCATTTCGGTTGAGGTTAGTTATTAGTCAAGTTAATAGTTAATATGGCGATGTAAACGCATCTTTATACGGTTTAATGAACGGATAGCGATGGCGGCGGCGCGACGCGAGCTCGGTGCGCAGTCGGTTCCGAACTTCGAGCGGCGCGCGCGCAAACACGCGTTTCAACTGTGAAAGGCCGCATGACTCATACCTAACTAAACTAGTAATGAACGAGTACGCCGAATACGATTGGAAACTGCATCAGATGCAAAATGAACGGCTCTGTGAAGTGACTAGAAAACGACTCACAGACGGTGACAGACAACGGGCGCTTTTGGGCCTAAAAGAGGCGGTGGATTCGAGCCTCAACCTCGCCCTACGAGACAAAAGCCGATGTCAAGACGACAATTTTTTGAGGAGATTTTTGTACGCGCGTAAACACGACGTACAACAGAGTTTCGAGCTTTTGGTTCGTTATCATCAATATCGGCGGGAACATGACGAGCTGTGGGCTTCGGCAGACGGGGGCGTGTTACGAGCGCTCGCCGACGGGTTGCCGGGTGTGTTGGCACAACGGGATAGACGCGGGCGTTGTGTGCTCCTCGTGTTCGCCTCGAATTGGTCTCCTCAAGCATGCTCATTAATTTCAGTCTTTAGAGCTCTGCTTCTTACCATTGAACGCACACTGGCGGATATCCAGAACCAAGCCAACGGATACGTAATTATAGTGGATTGGACCGAGTTCACCTTCAAACAATCGTGCAGTTTACAAGCTAAGGTATTGAAAATGATGATTGACTGTTTACAAGATTGTATGCCGGTGCGGTTTAAAAGCATTCACTTCATCGGACAACCTTGGTATGTTGAGACCGCTCTCGCCGTCATAAAACCGTATCTCAAAGCGAAGACACGGGAACGAATAGTTTTACACGGTAACAATTTGTCTACTCTCCATGACGCTTTACCTCTTGATATCTTACCGGCCGAACTTGGAGGCGAAGGTCCGTCTTATAATTCAGAGCGTTGGCTCCAAGAGTTTTGTCGAAGTGAAAACATTCCTACGACACTTACAACACCAGTGACAGCTATAACAGTAGAGGACGACCTTCCATCGGCGAAGCTAAACAAAGCCTATATACAAAAGGACAGTGCCAACTTTTCATATCATGCTAATGAGAAAAGTGCTAAATCGGAGTTGCTACGTGATAAAGATTGACCTTATCGGAAGCAGTGTCCGTGCATAGTTATATAGACAGCTCCCTTCCTGGGCACGCCACCGGAATATCGATACGTTTCGCGTGGTTCGGTATACATCATGTGATATCAAGTGTAATTTATTTATGTATAATACGAGAATGCGCCTCGTAAAAAAATGAAGTTTAAAATAAATTGGATTATCCGTTTGTAGTTTAACGGTAAAATGCATTTATATGGGCTCGGATTAGGACGGTTTTTCTAGTTGGTTTAGTGAGAGTAACGAATTCACAGCAGACATCGCGGTCGGTTTGTCTTTGTTGTGTGGTGTAAGGAATGAGTCAGATGCATTGATCGGATGAGTGGGTGTTGATGAGACCGGAGCATCCTCCACGTCCGGCTGGCATCGATGCGCCCGCACGTAACGGTGCACGCTCTCATTTCGACGCGCATCCGCTCACAACGATCGTGAGCAATTTAATAATTCCGTCCATGTTTGAATAATATTAAATGTGAAATTATTACATACGACCAAACCTTATAATATTTATTATAGATCGAATACATAAAAACATGCTTATCTTATTTTAATTATATTAAATGTAGTTGTTTAATGATGAACTGTTACGATGCAAAATATACGAAAGCTTCACAGTAAGCATAAACTGTGAGATGGTACCTAAAATTTATGCTCTGATGGTTTTTCATGTGTAAGTACGTACGTAATAAGTTGTACTACTCGATTTGTTTTTGAAAAATTATCGCATAACGGGTTTAATCAATTGTAATATTATTCGTAAACGTCTTACGAAATTACCTTTCAATCAAATAAGCAATGAAACTTGAAACATTCAGTGTGACATTTGCAAACAGACAAAACATAAAACAATACCAAAACATCAGTTCCATCTAGTATTGTAAGAATAAAATGATAATTACTTTAGAATATTTCATTTAAATTATTATTTTAAACTTTAAATAATTACTCTTAGATGCATTAATCATGAGGCTTTCTGCGCATTTACTATCAAATAGTCTGTTTAAATGCATATTTACGGTTTTTTGCATATGCGTGCTTGCGATAAAAAAAACTAGTTAAGGACTCTAGACTGCATAAAGCTAAAACGTTGTCTCTCAAATGCTAACTTATAATGCGATATAATGTTTATTTTTCACGTTTGTGATCTCATATAATATTAAAGAACTCATCACTGTTTGGTCGTGGTTTCATCGTATCAATATTGACAAGTGAATTTATCGTTTTCGTTCATTCCAAACACAATATTTGTCTGAATTCCCGAGCGTCTAGATGTAGACTTTGAAACAAAACTAAGATATTGTCATTGAAACTGTTTATAATATTGTACGTGTTAACAAAGAACGCATGTGTACTTAAAAAATTATAGCATAAAAATTAACTCCAAAGTGCTCCTTACTTTATACTTAAATAAACAAATAAGACTTGTTTACATATGAGTCGTCTATTAACAAAGGTGGCAATCTGTGCATTTGGACAAAAAAAAAATTATTGATATGTCAATACAGATTGATTTGAATATAATCATCTCCTTCAAAGAATACGGTTCAAAACCTGCATTAAATAAAAGTTAATACTTAACCTGTTATTTATCTAAGATGTCGTTCAGAAGATTTTTGTGACTGCCAATGTAATACAAAGTCAATAATTCGTTTTTCTGATTTACCAATAATTGCCCAAAAGTCACATTGCCGGCTTTGATAATAGTCGACTCATATATGACTATGTTTTTGAGAATATCGTTAAATCGCCAATTTTCCTAATGACTAAAACGTTTTTATTGGGTTCTGGCTTTCTCAATTAAATCCATCGATCTATATTATGGAATGTATAGAGTTTATATGAGCACATTATTGTGAATGAAATCCTAAATTAAATGAAGTATGTATGTGAAGACTATTCGAAATACGTTTCAACAGTATTTAAAAATTAATTATGAAAAAATGCTTCATTGCTTGTACTCCTCCTGCTCTCTCTTCTCTTCTTATATAATTAGACTTTTTAATTTAGGTTACACTGTTCATTAATAGATATTTTAAAATGACATTGAATGTACCTTTAAATTTATATTAAAAGTACGTATTTTACGATATTTGGTCAAAGATTTTTGTTTGTTTACGTCCTATAAAAATAGTTATCGAATAATACGACTGAAACAGTTCAACTGATATTAAAAATTACAATAAAGTATTGAATAAAAAACACAACGATTTTTATTTTAACACGAAAAGCCTCTAATTGATACTTACATATTAATAATAGCTGCACGTGTTTCCGCGTTTTTGTCGTGGAAACTTTCGTAAATTCAGTGTTTAGAAAATCACGTTCAAAACCATACTATAAGGGGCCGATTGAGAAATTGATTCGAACCGTTCTGTGGAAATATAATCGTGTAACTCAATGTAGCGTGAAATCCTTAAGAAAACAATTGAACTATATTATTTGAAAACATAAACCAGAACAGCTAATGTAGCTGACTACAAATCTAATTACACTAACCACATTAACGTCATTAAATGAAACGACCTTCTGTAATAATTTGGATTATTAACCAATTTATTTAACCTTGAGAAACTTCAAATATTCAACATAGGAAGCGAGGGGTCAAAGAAATCATTTCAATGGTATGTACGTGATTCAGATTTCATTTGGAAATCGTGTGGAGCTTTACCATTTTAATTTGACTTCCGTAGCTTAACCTTAAACATATTATAGCAAAGTGACTTCCGATCAAAACACCTCATTAACTGCCCTTTATTAAAATTAGCCTCTACAGCAAATAATTGTACTCGATGTAAATAATTAAATTATTAAATAATTCCTCGAATCAATAGTAATACGTAGGTAAGATGTCAGTGCATTCGCACCGGCAGTGGATTTAAATTTTGCAGCAGTTAGTAAATTTACTGAGGAAATGTCGCTAAAAGCACGTAGAACCTGCTCCCGTGCTCACGAACGGCGAATAACACGGGAAATATATATTGGGTTAGCATATGCATGGCTGGTTGTATCATCCCGCTCAGTTCTGCTGTGAGGCAGTCCCGCGTTCCAGAGTCATTGTTCTACAATAAAATCGAGATTTTGAGCTCATGCGTTGGCTTCTCTGATGTCTATGGCCCCCGCCAAGCACATCAGGCTTGGTCTGAGCTCACAAACCTATAAAAACCACTGTAAAATATTCGTCATACGTTATCTCTTCCAAAATGGTTTGACTAAAGTGACTTTTTTCAAGCAATGATTTATTTGTTTGAATCCAATAAAAAACTAACAAAAATAGTCTATACGATCAATAAATTTTATTAGATTATAATTCTCTGTGCTTTGAGACTTAAAATTTTACTAAACATTAAGATTTAATAGTTTACGTTAAGATTTATTAAAAAGCAAGACTTTGGTTGGTTGAAAGGATTGATGTCGTTCACAGTTTTATTGGGATAAACGAGATCGGGAGGCTCGGCTGGGCCCTCTCCCGTAGGGGGTTTCCTATGAGCTGCTGAAGTCCATCAAAATGTGGTCAAACCAGGGGCTCTATAAATGATCATGCCACTGGATGTCAGTGGGGTATGTCATATTAGCACGATGTCCTTTTATGTGTGCCTGGTTAGTACACTGTGATAAACCGTGAGCTCACCTACTCGCCCGGTGAATCTGATACGACCCCTCGAGGTCACTAGAATAGATAGAACAAAAAAAAAAAAAAGTGATAAGCTTCAGATAAAATAAGCATACTACACCTTTACCACATAGACGTGCGTTAATTAAAGCTCTAACTACTGCAAGCTCACCGTAAGCATACTATTCGTAATTGTTTGATTTCGGAACGTTAAAAGTGTCAACGAGCGACGTCCGTTAAGACACTTTTCCCTTTTTACTCGTAATTCCAGCCTCCAAGGGCGACGCATTGATTTCATATTTCTGTTATATTCAATCTTTAATTTATCACATAAGGACTAATAAATATCTCAAAAGCAATAAATACAGTCCACTCTCATTTACAACAACGCTACAGTTATGTTTTAATACTGTTAGAAGGAAGCTTGATTACTTCTATTCTAATTGGCAATGATAATACCGCTTCGAGATAGATTACGTTTGTAGGCATCAGACAGCATTTAAGATTCAGCCTTTAGATTAAAATTTATCTGTGCTTAGTCGAATTAGGTTTATCTGCGTGCGTAATTAATTATCTATACGATCTATACCGGATGTTAATAATAGGTACTTCGTTACCATATACAAATATTAACTCGTACAAGTACGCAGATGCACGTTTTCATATTATCTTTAATGGTTGTATGCAATAGCTATCTATGAGTATGCGTGGACAATGGGCAGGGAACCAAGTGCCTCGCGCGAGTTATGTGAGTCATGTGGCTTCCAGTTCCGTCGAGCGACGCGACGACGGTCGCAGCGGAAGGAACCCACGTACTAAAAATATTTATGTCTACTAATTATCATCTAATACTGTAAGGTTTGTTGTAAAATAATTAAATTAAATTTATCATATCAAAGTTAAGGCAATTTTCGGATTGCCAAATAGCAACACTGTTGGTGGGAGCAATGGCAGTAGTGGGGACGTGATATAATAAAAAAGGCGGTAGTCTGAAAAAACGGCACAGAAAAACAGTGTATTGAGTAGTGAGCAGATATCTAAAGATTGCACAAGTGGAGTTAAAAATAAAGCAATACAGAATTAAGTGAACTACTGCAATCTGTGTATTATTTCCTGACTGTTGGAAGCAGAGTTCTACAATACTTTAACAGTCTTCATTGGAATAGAAAACTTAATTTTGAAATCGTTCTAAATTTTCCCCAAGAGACGAAAATCACGTGAGACCTCTACACAAAAGATGAATGATAAATAAGCGTGAACTGTTAAAACATTGATAAAAGTAAAAATAAACGGTTATGAAGGTGTGACATTTGAAGCATTCAAATAGACTCAGAATGTTTGTTGCTCGATGTTCTTCAGTACCTAATACTATTGTTTAATGACATTGTCAAAGACTTTAGCTCATTAGTAACATATGTGGATGTTAAGATATATAAGTACATACATACATGGTGTGTAATAGTATGAACTCGTCATGCGGTATATTAGTGGTAATAATATGATTATCAACTAGAAATTATAATTAATATAACATATAATATCTATTTATTTAGTTTAAAAACAACAAAAAATTAAATACTAAACTTAAACTATCGAATATGAATTATTTTTTTATCCTCTTTATAGCGGTAAAGATTTAGAACGAAAGTATAAAATTATTATTTGGTCATCGGTCCTTGAAACGTGTGCAATTTTTTTAAGGTAATCGAATTTTAAGTTGAAGTCAGTGAAAATGACGTTTAAAAATTCTGTGACACAAACATACGCATAAACCAAGCTAATAAATGCGTTTATACTGAAAAACAAACACAACAGCTGTTAAAACACAGTTCTTTGTACATAAAATAAACTCAATTTACGTTTTACTTATAACATTACAGTTTCTAAGCGTCTGTATGGATTTTAATTTATCTATGCGCATGAAATAATACAAAAAATGCCAAAACGTCGGTTTATTAGATGTAAAAAGTAATGCGAAGTCATCAAAGTGCATCGCTAATTAAACTTCGATATCTGTTGTTATCATTAACGATTCTGAATAGCTTCATTTAATAAGGATTTCTAAGAATAAAAAGGATTTCCCCTATTTAAATAGAAAATTACGAAAAACATAAAGACTGAGTGTTTTGGATTAAGCTTTAAAACGGATTAAATTTACTTATGCGACCCCAAGTGCTCTATTTTTTTTTTTTGGTCTAGTTCTAAACAATAATCAGATAAATTATATTATTCTAATATTCAACATCAGAAATAGTATACAGAATGTTTCTGTATATATGCCCTTTTGCTTATAGTTCCTTGATATTTTTGTTTTTTGTATTTCTGGGTCTCCTCCTCCGACCTCTAGAATATTTTTTTAAATGAAATATGAAACAATAGTTTGAAATTATCTTAAAATGCAAACAGATGATGCATGAATAATTATTCACCATTTGAAGTGATAAATTTGCAAATTTAAAATCATGCAAATAAGATATTCTAACATTGAAAATAGATTATACCTAATAAAACCTACCATTTTTAGAAAAAAAAAGAAAAATTAATTTACACAACATTCTGACAACATTGACATTTGACTGATTAGTGTTGACAACATCCATTATTATGAAAATTAAATATAGAAAGATATAGTACGATCTAGAACAATGTCTTGTTGCAAGTTAATACCATTGTTGGGGACTTTAGAGTTATCACAGGTGTTTATGATGTCATAGCTAATACAGTTATTGGCTTTTAAGTAGTAAGATGACAATCCAATCATAGTTTGCTTTTAAGTACATCGTAAAAATGGAGAGTACAACGATTTTTTTATACTTCCCATTGGAAAATGTTGCCGCGGCTTACAGTTATCACAAATAAATAT